GGGGAAGTTTTTCCAGTGTTTTGAAACAAAAAATCAATTGCCTCAGAGCTTTTAATACTTCATATCCTTATTTCACAACCAATGATGGATCCATGCTTTCAAATTAAGGTGGACTCAATTTACCTTAGGATATGTGAAGTGATGACCGTTATGAGAATTCTATGGTGAGGGCTTCATCTAAAACCTTTAGATGAGATCCTATCTCTTAACCGTTGGATTAAACTAACCAATTTGATCTAACAACTAACTAATTGAATCCAACGATTAAGAGATTATAAGGCTCTCACTATAGACTGACTCATGTAAGTTTGTGTGCAGTGTAGAATTATGCATGAAGGGGGATTGATTTTGGTGTGTTGGAAAATGAAAAACCATGGGCTATAGCCCAGGTTAGTTAGTATAAGGGTCCATCCTTGTTGAGCTTTATTTGGTGGACATGTGTATAGAATAATAATATATACAACCCCAAAACTCATCCCATATTATATAAATAACCATCAATTTGTTAAATAATCCATCAAAAATATTTTTTTCCTTTCTTACTTTGTTATTTTTGTTCGTTCTCCTTTCATCCGTTTGTATAGAATGGTATTGATTCGTTATAGGGATAATTGTCGAAATGTCACCTGAACTTATACCTCAGTTTCAATTTGCACTTTAAAGAAAAATTTAAGAGAAATGTCACTTAAATTTTTCAAAATCCATGATTTGTCATCTAACTTTAACACCATCCAATTTTTCATCTATTTTTAAGGGTATTTTAGTTGTGTGCAGTGTAGAATTATGCATGAAGGGGGATTGATTTTGGTGTGTTGGAAAATGAAAAACCATGGGCTATAGCCCAGGTTAGTTAGTATAAGGGTCCATCCTTGTTGAGCTTTATTTGGTGGACATGTGTATAGAATAATAATATATACAACCCCAAAACTCATCCCATATTATATAAATAACCATCAATTTGTTAAATAATCCATCAAAAATATTTTTTTCCTTTCTTACTTTGTTATTTTTGTTCGTTCTCCTTTCATCCGTTTGTATAGAATGGTATTGATTCGTTCCCCCCCCCCTCTTTTCTCTCTCTCTGGCCATGTATAAATTTTTTTTATAATGATTTTTCCATTTCTAAAATACCCTTTAAAATGAAAAAGACTAAAATACCCTTAAAAATGGATGGAAAATTGGATTGTGTTAAAGTCAGATGACAAATCATGGATTTTGAAAAATTAAGGTGACATTTCTCTTAAATTTTTCTTTAAGGTGACCAATTGAAACTGAAGTATAACTTCAAGGACTCCATCAATCCAAAGTCATTGAGCTTGCCCTAGGCTAGTAGAGCCGCTGAGAGCTCTGCCGAAAACAGATGCTGCTTTTAGAGAGTGGGAGGAGGAGTGCAGAGGGAAGAGATGAGAGGAGGGAAAGCCCCAGCAACAGAAACCTAAACAGACTCAGCAACCACCAATCTGCCTCGCGTGACACCTAACATGTCCTCAACAAGACGCGAACTCAACCAAACTGGAGCAAAATCAAAATAGAACACACCTAAGTCCAAATTATAGCTCCAAGTTGCTAAACCATCAACCACATCATTTCGTTCTCTATGGATATGTCGAAGAGCACAACTGTCAAATTGATTCATGAGATCACAATAGGCAGTGACCGAAGAAGTCAAAGGGTAACAATGCATAGAAGCAACTTTATGAATTAGATGCACAGGCACGTCAACATCCATTTCCACTAGGAGATGAGAAATACCTTATCCTTAGCAAGCTTAAAGCCAAAAAACAACCCCCAAATCTCAGCCTCCAATATCTTACCTTGCCCAGAACCCACCAATCCAATCACCAAAGGTGTTACGAATCCCTCCCTTTTGTCCCAAACCAGGAGGTTCCCAAGCAATAGAAACTGGCACACGATACAACTTGTGACAAATAGAAACAGAAGCCTGAACCCATTCCCTCACAACTAAAAAAAATATACTCTATTTAAAATTGAAAGGCAAACCCTCCAAGCCATTAAAAACTTGTTGATTTCGCCGCTTCCAAATCAGCCAACATGTAAAACCAAACACCACTTTCCAGTCACAACTATCAAAACACCACTTAGCTTTAGAACTAACATTACTCAAAAGCCAAGGCTTGCAATCAGTACAATAGAAGTGAGGATTGGCACCAGATTCCAATACAGCTTGCCACACTTTTCTAGCTCGAGGACAGTCTCTAAGGATATGTAGGAGTGTTTCAGAAGACCAGCCACAAAAACCACAAGACGGATCCTCAGTTAACTGTCTTTTCCATCTCTGATCATTTGACAACACCTTACCTTGAAAGACAAGCTATAGAAAGATTTGCAGCGTAGGTGAAATTTTCATTTTCCACAACACTTTCCAATAAGGCTCAACCTCCCTATACTCTTGAAACAACAAATTATAAGCTGATTTCATAGAAAGATACCATCAGCAGTTAATGTCCAAATATGAGTATCATGCATACTACTACCAAACCCCACAGGGCAGCATATGATTTGCTGAACCAACTCCTCTGAAACCACACTCCTAAGTTTAGGCACATCCTACCAGCCATCTCAGGAAATTTTTTTTTTAGAAATTGTGCAATCCAAATCTCTGATATCAAGAACTCCAGAGTGCTGCATTAAAGTCTCATCACATATCCAGTGATCCTTCCAAAAATGAGTTGTATCCCCTTTTCCAATTCTCCAACTCATACCTTTAGTTAGCAACTCAGTCCCATATAAAACACTCTTCCAAGTTGAAGAGCAATCATGCCTGGAATGTAAGGAAGGATCCAAAATAGATTGGCCTCGAAGGTATTTAGCTTCATAAATTTGAGCCGACAACCTTTTATCCCTTAGATGAAGCTTCCACCCAAAAGAACTTTATTCATGTTAGTAGTTCGTTTAAACCCCAAACCACCGTTGCACTTTGGTCTACACACCAAATTCAATTGACATATATAGACCTTCTCCTTTTTCTCAGTATCTCCTCAGAAAAAGTTCCTATGTAAACGATCAAGACTATTGCAAACACTAGCAGGCAATTTAATAGTATGCATAGCATATGAAAGCATAAAGCACGGGCAACAGTGAGAAGATGGCGATGTTTGCGCTCAACAACCCCATTTTGTTGGGGGGAGTGTGAACAAGAATGTTGCCATAGTGTGCCCATTTGAGCAAAAAAAGAATGCATGGATAGGAATTTTGCACCATTGTCACTACGCACCTGTTGAATGTCGCAATGAAATTGAGTTTTAACATAGGCAAATTTTTTTTTGATCTTTTCTTGTGTCTCAGATTTAAGATTCATGAGGAGCAACCATGTGAAACGTGAGTAGTCATCTACGATAATCAAAAAATATCGAGCACCTGAGCTAGTGGGTAATCGATGAGGACCCCATATATCGCAATGAATTAACTCAAAAGGTTTATTGGTTGAAATTGAACTTAGAGAAAATGGTAATCTGGTCTGTTTGGCAAGAGGACACACACACTACTACATTTTAGTCCTTGCGCGACGGACTTTTGCGCGACGACGGATAATTCGTGGCACAAAACATTCTTGCGCGACGGAAATAACTAAGCGTAGCGCAAATTTGTGCGACAAAATAATTCGTTACGCAAACGGTGTTTGCGCGACAAAAATAGGTCTCGTCGCATAAAGCCGTTGGGAAAACGCGCGGAAAAATTTGTTTGGCGGTGAACTTTGCGCGACAATATATATCATCGCGCAAAGATGTTATGAGTGACAAATAAAAATATTTGTCGCGAAAAAAAAAAACGCGCGAAAAACGAACCACTGTTGGTGGTATTTGGAGCCAAAAAATTGCGCGCGAGCGTGTTGCGCAACGAGACTTCCGTCGCGCATAGTTCATTGCGGCGAAGTAGTGGCGTCGCGTAAGAAAAAAGTGCGCAAAGACTTACGCGACGATATTTTTATCTTGCGCGACGAATGTTTGAGAGACGGATAATACTTTGGCGTCGCGCAAAAAAATCGATGTCGACAGCACCTTGCGCGACCGGGGAATAACTTTTGCGCGACGATAATGTGGTTTGCGCGACAGACTATGTACGACGGAACTAATTTTTTTCGTCACGCAAAGGAGAAATCTTGCGCGACGGAATAATATATTCGTTGCGCAAAAGCGTCGTCCTATACATAGATCAGTTCGTCCATGGCAGAGGCAAACTGCAAAAAATTTTGCAGTTTGCCTCTGCCTTCTTTTCCGTATGTGTCAAGCAGTATCGGCCCACAAAACTCGTCATTTTCATTTCGTTTATGAGTTGAGCTACTTCCGCCTCTGGTAAGGTCATTGGGTATGCATTTTTTGTCGTTAGTGTAAAAATTTTACTGTAAATTCATACGTACTAACGCCATTAATTTCCTTGTGTATAGGAATATTATATGTGATTAGCGATTGGTGGAGAAAGATTTAGAAGGTATTTTCGTTGTTTTATAATATAAAATTTATTACATTATGTTTATATTTATTTATGAAATTATGTTTATAATATATTGTTAAATTATGCATGTACGTTAATATACGAAGTTAATTGAAATTAACTTCGTACTTTTTTTTTTTTTGTAAAGCTTAGTTCCCGTTCGAGGTTAGTTGGACTGCGCATGGGTGGGTAAACCACGACTACGGTCCAATTAATTCTTGAATTGTCCCATATTTTGGACAGTTTGGAAATGCATAGTCATGTCACGTAGTTTACAACTACAGGATTAGGTTTCGATTGTGGAGATTTCGGTGTCATCTCGGTACGTTCTTCGGGTGGTACGTAGGTATTTTATATCTACGGTACACCTCAAGAACTGTACCGAGATGCTGCCGAAATTCATCCATGTCGAAATCTAATCTCATGTAGCTATAAATTACGTGACATGACTATGCATTTCCGAATGGGATAGGGCCCTTACCGGAGGCATAAGGAAAGGTTTTGTACGAATACAACATGATTGTTGTATTGTGATTGTGGTTCCAGGAATGATGAGCAGGAGGTGGATACAGAACCCGAATAAGTGCGCAGACGAATACTTGGATGGAATCGAGGATTTTATTGACTTTGCACGGACACACAACCCGGGTGCAACTAGAATCCGGTGTTCTTGCAGGAGGTGTAACAACATGTTGTGGGAGACAATTGAACATGTTCGATTTCATTTAGTAAGGAATGGAGTGATTGAGACATACAGCACTTGGAACCATCACGGGGAACAATTAGACATCGCTTCGTCTTCAAGGGCCACAAGAGTGGACAATGTTGAACGCATTGTGGATCCTAATGAACAAGTCAGGGATATTATAAATGATGCTTTTCCATTTGCATCGACCAGCAGCAACAAGGGGAAGATGATGTGCCTACACCAACGGATAGTGCAGAGTTTGAACAGTATGAAAAACTGTTAAGAAATGCTAACCAAGAGTTATACCCGGGGTGCGAGAGCTTTTCCGTTCTGACGGCGATTGTGGAGCTAATGCACGGAAAAATAAAGTATCGTATGTCGAATTTGTGTTTCGATTACTTTTTGGGGGTTTTTAAGAAAATGCTTCCAACGGATAATTGTTTGCCGAAAGATCACAGACAGGCACGGAAGATGTTGAGTGGTCTTGGATTGGGTTATGAAAAGATCCACATGTGCAAAAATAACATGTTATTCTACAAAGAGTATGAAACGTTGGATACATGCCCTATATGCAATGAGTCGAGGTTCAAACAGACCTCTCAGAATAGAATGAGTAAGATTCCACAAAAAGTCATGCGTTATCTGCCCCTGAAACCAAGGTTGCAGCGATTGTATATGTCGACGCATACTGCAACAGACATGAGATGGCATAAGGAAAAACGGGTAGACGACGATGTGATGCGGCATCCTGCAGATGGGGAGGCATGGAAAGAGTTCGATCGAACGTTCCCCGAGTTTGCTACTGATCCCCGAAATGTGAGGTTGGGACTTGCCACTGACGGATTCAATCCATACAGGGTTCTAAACCAACACCACAACACTTGGCCTATTTTTGTATTCCCATATAATTTGCCGCCTTGGAAATGCATGAGAAAAGAGTACATGATGATGACTGTTTTGATAACTGAGGAACCTGGCAGGTCAATCGATGTGTACTTAAGGCCGTTGGTTGATGAGCTCAAAGATTTATGGACAAACGGGGTGCGCACGTACGATAAATCCACTGGGAAGATGTTCGATTTGCGGGCGGCAGTTATGTGGGGTATGCAAGGAAGATGTAACTTCTGATTGGCACGCTGGAAAAGTGTGTTACCTTGGGCATCGAAGATGGTTGCCATGGGACCACGAGTGGCGGGAGAAGGATTTGGTGTTCGACGGGAACAAAGAGCATCGCGCGAAACCTAGAGAATGGTCCGGTGATCAGATTTTGGAACAGCTTAACCGTTTGGATTTTGCTCCGTTCGGGAAAACAGTTAGTTGGACCAGACCTGCTACACATATGAACTGGACGCACAAGTCTATGTTTTTTGAGCTCCCATATTGGTCGAAACTAAAATTGAGGCACAATATCGACGTTATTCATGTTGAGAAAAATGTGTTTGACACATTGATGGGAACGATTCTAGATATCAAGGGCAAGACAAAGGACACGACAAAAGCTCATCTTGATTTGGAAAGAATGGGCATACGAAAGTGTTTATGGCTGAAAAGGGGCAATGATAAAGCTATACGGGATCTTGCATTTTTTTTGCATGAAACCGAATGACAACAAAGAGTTTCTACAGTTCGTATCGTCTGTAAAGTTTCCTGACGGGTATGCTTCTAATATCGCACGTTGCGTGAGGGTTGACGGGGGTAAATTTACTGTACTAAAGAGTCATGACTGCCATGTGTTTATGCAACGCCTACTTCCTGTGGGGATTCGACACCTATTGCCGGAAGATGTAGTCAAGCCAATCATATTATTGTCCAGATTTTTTTCCCAACTGACGGCAAAAACGTTGCGAAAGACAGACATTGATCAGTTGCGCCATGACATTCTCCAAGTCTTATGCAAGTTTGAGGTGATATTCCCTCCGGCTTTCTTCACGAGTATGATTCACGTGATGGTTCACTTACCAGAAGAGGCATTGCTTGCTAGTCCAGTCAACTATCGCTGGATGTATCCAATAGAAAGGTATATAATCATCATCATTTGTGTAAGCATCATTATCTCATGCTTCCTACTTGCTAATTTGCATCTTTTCGTTTTATTTTGGTAGGCTACTCGGAGAGCTGAAAAAAAGCGTACTCAACAGAGCGAAGCCCGAAGGATCAATTGTAGAGGCTTGGGTTCAATATGAGGTGCTTACTTTCTGTGGAATGTATTTAAAGGATGTAGACACAGCTTTCAATCGACCTCAGCGCAATAATGACGGAGGTCTGAGGAATAAGCAACTTTCTGTTTTTGCCCAAAGCGCACGACCCTTTGGAGATCCTGTACGAGGAGAATCGTTTTCCATAAATGACATGGAGGTAGCTCATTGGTTCGTATTGAAAAATTGTGATGAGATATTGGCATACTTAGATGAGCATGAAGAGATGATGAAGCGAGAACATCCATCACATTTGTATTCCAAGAAACACCGTGAATTGTTTCCACAATGGTTTTTGGAATATGTAAGTTATAAGTGTTTTGTAATTGATATACATATTGTTCTATTACATTTTTCCAAATTGACATATGAATGTTTTTTTTATTTATAATATTAGGTGAATAAGTTGAAATCAGAGAATTCCCCCACTTACAGTGAAGAGTTATATAACTTGGCATTCGGCCCACTCCGAGCAGAATTGTTCTCAGGTTGCCATGTTAACGGCGTTAAGTTTGTAGGGACTGCACGAGATGACAAGTTGTGTACGCAAAACAGCGGTGTCCATGTTCCAGGTGGAGGCGAAAGTACGAACATTGATTTCTATGGCAAACTCACAACTGTCGTGCAATTGCTTTACAAAGATCGATACCAAGTGATCATGTTTAAGTGTCGATGGTTTGATACGAACCCAAATATGTAGGGAAGTATTAAAATCGATCATGGGTTACTATCTGTGAACATGAGCAGAACTTGGTATGATGACGACCCTTACATTTTGGCAAACATGGCAAAACAAGTTGTGTATCTAAATGACCCTAAAGCGGGGAACGATTGGAAAGTTGTTCAGCATATGGATCAGAGGAACGTTTATGCTATACCAGAACTAGACCCATCTGACAACGACGTTGACCAACGTTTAGACTCTTCCATGGAAAATGATGCACATACACTCCTAGATACAAATGTTGTTCAAGAACCATTTTAGCTTGACGGAGTGTCTTCAAGAGAAATACCAATGCAGTCAATTACAATTGACCTCGGTGATCTTCCGCGATACGATCCAACCATGGGCCCGAACAATGACGATGATGTACTTATGGAGGAGGAGGAGGAAGAGGAGGAGGAAGAGGATTGGGAGACGGATAGTGATGATAGTGATGATAACTAAGGTTATTATAGTTCATCTGATGAATAATGTAATTTATTTGTAATTTAATAGGGTTAGTGTAAAGAAATGAAATGTACTTGTTATATCAAAACCTTATAAATATATGCTGAAATGAAATGTACATGTTTCTCTTTGTGTGAGTGACTTCCCCTAATTAACGTCACATACATGCATGTAGTTTACTATACAAAGACGAATGAATAAAGGTATGAAAAAAATACAAATATGGTATGAAAAAATATAAATATAGTATAAAAAAAATGACAATAATATGCTTTATCATATAAATATATGATATCCAAACCATATAAATATATGCTTTATCACGTCCCCTAAAACAAGTTGTGATCATCTTTTGCTTGTACACTAAATACAAATATAGTATGAAAAAATATTTACACTAAATATCAATATAGTTTGAAAAAATAGAAACAACGCTTTGCGAGACGAATATAATCTTAGGCGTCGCGCCAGGGTCATTTGCGCGACGATATCCTTCGTCTCGCAAGATTAATTTTCCAAAAAAAATACAAGTGTTTGGAAATAGTTTCGAAGTGCCCCTTGCGCGACGACACAATGACGGAGTCTTCACAAGAACGTTTGCGCGACGATAGACTTCGTCTCGCAAGGTTACATTTTCCACTAAATATACAAGTGTTAAGAAATAGTTTCGAAGTGCCCCTTGCGCGACGAACAAATGACACCGTCGTCACATGAAGCTTTGCGCGACGATGACATTCGTCTCGCAAGGTTGATTTCCCAAAAAATACAAGTCTACGGAAATATTATAGAAGTGCCCTTTGCGCGACGAAATATAGAAGGCTCGACACATGAACGTTTGCGCGACGACAAATATTTGTCGTGCAAACTATATACAGACGAAAAATTTACATTCGTCGCTTAAACCAATTTAATTTTTGTAAAAATATTTCTATACATAACACTTAAGAATTTAAACGGAGTATTCACTAGTATAAATAGTTTGAAATGAAAATCAAATTCTGTCATTGGATTAATATAGGGTGAACGAGTATATCCGTAAAAAATCATCGAAATTGGAGTAAAATTGACCGTTAAATCGTGATTTTTCCTTTATAACCGTTGAAATCTTTTGTCCCGTTACCTGATCTATATACGTTTTTTTTTTTTGATTTTCGGCGTATATGATCTCTAAGTATAAACAAACAAGTTTGACGGTTGGATCGATGAAACAAGTTTTGTAGAATGCGTATGTCATCCACACAATATAGTCACTAACTATTAAGAGTTTATATATAATCTTATTAAGTATAACATAAGATTTTGTGATATCCACTAGTGTAAATAGTTTGAAATGAAGATCAAATACTGTCATTGGATTCATATAGGGTGAAGGAGTGTATCCGTAAAAAATCATCGAAATTGGAGTAAAATTGACTGTTAAATCGTGATTTTTCCTTTATAACCGTCGAAAACTTTTGTCCCGTTACTTGATCTCTATACCTTTTTTTTTTTCTTCCCATTTTTGGTGTATACGATCTCTAAGTATAAACAAATAAGTTTGACGGTTGGATCGTTGAAACTAGTTTCGTAGAATGTGTATGCCATCAAAACAATTTGTTCAACATTTTATACAAAAAATTGCGCGACTGGTAACCGACGTCGCGCAAAACAAATTGCGACGAATCCTTAGTTGTTTCATCGCGCAATGTGATGATGGGGTTCAGGGTTTTCGTGGGCAGGGTTTAGGGTTTAGGGTATAGTGGGTTTAGGGCGACGCAATAGTTGCCAGCGTCGCGCAAGGTCGTGAAATTTTGGCGGTTCAATTGCCGCTACTGCAATGTCTTTGCGCGACGAATATTTCTATATTCCGTAGTGCAAAGTTAATATTTATGTATTCCGTCGCGCAAGTTCACGAAAATTTTAAGCCAAAACGCGCGTTTTTTCTTTTATTGCTTTGCGCGACGAAATAGTGTTGTTCGTCGCGCAAAGGTCTGATAATAACTCGACAGTTTCATACCTTATCTCTCTCTCTCTCTCTCTCTCTCTCTCTCTCTCTCTCTCTCTCTATCTCTCCTCCGGCCATCACCTCAACTCTCCACGTTAAAGAACGACCGGGCGGCCACTGCCAACGAACCCAGCCCTTTCCGAGCCGCCGCCATGACGATTGGCTTCGAAAAACCGGCGGGAATTTATCCGGTTTTGAGCGAAATTCTCCGGCTTCGTTCTCCCTCCTCCGGCCTCCAAATCTGACGAGTGAGGTATGCTTTTTCCCCTATTTTTCATTATGTAGCTGATGGTTGGGTAGGATTTGTTAAATTTGTAGCCTACGTTGTCTAATTTTGTAACTTAGATTTTGGCCGGATTTCGTGATGAAATTCCGGCCACTTCCGGCCATTTTTTGGCCTATGTCCGAGAACAAAAGTGCCTCTATTCGATGTCTTGAACCTAGGGTAGGAAGATTGGACCTTGATTTTGATATTTTTCCGGCGATCGTTATCGCTTTTTCACATCCATGCGCTGCTGCCGCGTGTGGCGGCGCCTGGGAACTGTAGCAATACCACATTGTGTCCCAATGTAATCCCCTAGTTGTCATGAGCACGTAGGTGTGTTTGGATTCCAAATTGGATACGGTTTCAGCCTCGAACGGATTTCGCCTATTGTGCGATTTAACGGTTTCATATGTTCGGACCATTGGATGAAACTCAAACTCACGTATGATGTACCTTGTATGTCTAGGATTGTATAGGATTCAACGGATTGTGGATCGGAGTCCCGGATACTCC